ATAACCCTAAAATTTATATGGAATCACCAAAAGACACCAGATAGTCAAAGCTGTCCGGAGACAGAACAAACCTGGAGGTATCATGCTCCCGGATATCAAACCACACTACAAAGCTACAGTAATCAAAACAGTACGTTAATGGCACAAAAACAGACACAAAGATCAATGGAACAGAATAGAGAGCCCAGAGATAAACTTACACTTATAAGGTCAACTGACAAAGTTGGCAAGAACATACAATGGAGAAAAGACAGTCTCTTTAAATAATGGTGATGAGAAAACTGGACAGCTACATGCAAAAGAATGAAACCAGACCACCTTCTTATACCATACACAAAAATAAGATCAAAAAGTACTAAAGACTTAAATGTACGATGTAGATCCACAAAACTGGAAGAGGCAAAAACAGGCAGTATGCTCTTTGATACTGGTTTTTTTTTTTTTTTTGGCTCTTTTTAAAGACAGCATAAGCAAAAATAAACAGGACTACATTAAACTAAAAAGCTTTTGCACAGCAAAGGATACCATCCAAAGAACAAAAAGGCAACCTACTGAATGGGAGAAGATATTTGCAAATGACATTTGATTAGGGGTTAATATCCAAAATATATAAAAAACTCATCCAACTCAATATCAGAAAAATAAACAATTCTGATTAAAAATGCGTAGAGGACCTATAAAGACATTTTTCCAAAGAAGACAAAGAGGTGATTAATAGGCATGGAAAGATCTTAACATCAGCAACCATGGTGAAATGCGAATCAAGACCACACTGAAATATCACTTTGTATCTGTCAGAATGGCTATTATCAAAAAGACAAGCAATAACATATTGGTGAGGATACGGAGAAAAGGGAACCCTGGTAGACTGTTGGTGGGAAGGTAAATTGGTACAGCCACAGTATGACGTTTACTCAAAAAATTAAAAATGGATCTACCATAGGATCCAGCCATTCCCCTTCTAGGTATTTATCTAAAGAAAACAAAAACACTAATTGGAAAAGACATATGCACCCTTTATTATTTATATTAGCAAAGATACTGAGACAACCTAAATATGCATGATTTATGAAAGGATTAAAGAAGTGTGTGTGTGTGTGTGTGTGTGTGTATACAGATATACACACAGTGGAATATTACCCATAAAAGCATGAAATCCTGTCATGTGTGACAACTAGGACAGACCTAGAGGGTATTATCCTAAGTGAAGTAAGTCAGAGAAAAACTAATACTGTATGATTTTGGTTATGTGTGTAATCTAAACAGCAAAAAAAATGAACAAAACAATACAGGAACAGACTCATAGATACAAGAGAACTGATGGTTGCAGAGAGGGAAGGGGGGACAGACAAAAGAAGTGAAGGGGATTAAGAGGTACAATCTTCCAATTATAAAATAAGACAGGGGATGTAATGTACAGCATAGGGAATATAATAATATTGTAACAACTTTGTATAATGACAGACGGTAACTAGACTTACTATAGTCATCACTTCATAATACATATAAACCAATCACTACACACCTGAAACTTATACAATATTGCCTGTTGATTATCTTCAATTAACAATTGTCTAAACTGTCCTTGGGGGAAAAAAAAAATCTGAACTGCCACATGATCCAGCAATTCAATTTCTGGAAACATATCCAAAAGAAACAAAATCATGTAACTCTAGAAGTTTCTGCACCCCCATGTTCATAACAGCATTATTTACAACAGCCAAGACAGGGAAACAAACTAACTCTCCATTGATGGATGAATGAAGAAGGTGAGTAGATACACAATGGAACATTATTCAGCAATAGAGAACAAGGATATCCTGCCCCTTGTGACAACATGAGTGGATCCTGAGGGCATTATTATGCTAAGTGAAATAAGTCAGAGAAAAGCAAACATTGTATGATCTCATATGTAGAATCTAAAACAAACAAACAAACAACTCATAGGAAAAGAGATCCGACTTACAGTTACCAGAGTTGGGGGTGTAGGGAGGGGGAATTGGAGAAAGATGGTGAAAAGGTACAACCTTCCAGTGACGAGATAAATGAGTACTAGGGTCGTAACATGCCCCATACCATGAGCATAGCTAACACTGCTTCATGATACACATGCAAGTTAAGAGAGTTAATCCTAATAATTCTCATCACAAGGAAAACAACTTTTGCTTTTGCTTTTTAGCTCATCTTCCATGGTGAGACGATGGATGCTTTTTCAGTCGACTTACTGTGGTAATCATTCACAATGTATGTAGGTCAAACCATTATGTTCTCTATATTAAACTTACACAGTGATGTATGTCAACTATGTACCAATAAAACAGAAAAAAAGAGAAAGGACAAGAAAGCTACACTGCTGAAATGTCTAGTATGAAAGGTTTCGAGGGGGTATAGCAATATATTTAAATAAAATAATCCAGTATTCAGTTGACCCTTGAACAACATCAGATTGAACTGCACGGCTCCACATATATACAGATTTTTTTTTTTCAATAAAGCACAGTAGTGTAAATATTTTCTCTTCTTTATGATTTTTAACATTTTCTTTTTTCTAGCTTACTTATTGTAAGAATACAGTATATAATATGTATAACAAAATATGTGGTAATCAACTGTTTATGTTATCAATAAGCGTCCTAGGCAACAGCAGGCTACTGGTGGTTAAGTTTTTGAGGAGTCAAAAATTGTACATGGGTTTTTGTCTGTGCAGGGAGTCAGCGCCCCTAACCTCCACATTGTTCAAAAGTCAACTGTAATTGTTGATGTGCTAATCATTTAAACAGAACTCTAATATGTCAGAGACGTGTAATATAACAGTACTCTGTTAATGTAAATAAAACAAGTATAATTCTCTTAGAACATAAAATTTGAGCATACTCTGCTGAGAAATATTTGTTCATTTTCTGCCATTTACTGTATAGTAATACCTTATTAATGATACTTAGGATAATATTTGTAATGGATTTTGCATTTTTATAAGACAACTCACTATATGCCATTCTTGTAGTTATTAACTCTTGGAAACTTCTTTGCCTAATACTGAGGATGAGATTTTAATTTCTTCCATTTGGCAGTTTATATCTACAAAAATAGAGAAATTTTTTTTGTAAAAATGACACAGTAAATATATGAAACAAAACTATGCAATTTATTTTGAAACACAAATACTATAAATATTTGATATTTTAAAATGTCTTTAATGTGATGTCTTTCCCATCAGACACATAAACTCTTTTTTCAGCCTCCCCAAACATTTTACAAGATACTATAATTTACACATATTTTCATTTAGACTACTTACTAGAAGTTAATCTGACACTGATATTTATATAAAAAGTTACATTTATTGCATATTAAAACTTTATTATGCTTTCATAGGGTCCTGGAAGAGCATGGCCAATCCAAAAGACTAAAATTAAAATCTCTAATAGCACATTTTCATTTTACATCAAACATCAATCAGAAAGTGTTTTATTTAGAGCACCTGTTTTAAGGCATAGGTAATAAACTAATGTAAAACCGACTCAAGGCAGATTACTTCCCAACTAGTAATATTTAGAGCTCAAGTGACTTATTATTTAGTGATACTCAGGAAAATTTAATTATTTGAAGTAGGTAAGAACTTTGACCATAATTCAGCAATAAATAAAGGAACTTTTTAAAAAATAAAGTTAGGTGAGGATAAGGGAAACCTTGGCGTATGGTTTTATTATTTAAGATCAAAAAGTTTACTCTCTTCCCCTAAAAATTAATTCCAATTTTCATTGAAATCCCTTCGATTTAAGCAAATGTAATTTATGATCAAACTTACCTGTCAAACAACCTCTATTCCAATATATATTTCCTACTCTTGTTTATTCCTAGAAAATTTTCCAATTTGAAACAGATATCTTTACTGTACATCCCATTTATTTAGACAACTTCTATTTGAGACATTAGTGTTTAAATTTCTAACCATGACAAACTTCTACTCTGAATAATAACTCCTAAGCTTTCCTCTATTTTCTGATTTCCATCTGGTCTTCTCTTACATGTTAAAGTAAAATCAGAACCTCTGCCTTGGCAGGCGTTTTTTCCCCTGTGGCATGACTTCTCCAAATGACCAATTTTTAGAAGAAAACAACATAGCCATAAAATTACCCAAAAAATCACTTACTTTTTCTATTGCAATATAAACCAAAATATGCAGACTTTTTTCTGTCTTGGACAACTTATACAACCTATATCTGAACTAAATTGTCTGTTGGTTAAATGCAGATAGATATTCATGATCAAATTCCTCTTTTTAATGACTGGGTTGTAAGGAAGTTGCCTAATAAATTAATTTTGGAAGGAGGAAGCAAGCTATGTTAACTGGTATAGAATGAAACTAGGACAGTTTGGTTTAAAGAATAAAAAACATTGAGATGAATTATGTGATTATGTAGAAGAAATTTACTGTGTAAGAAAATGTGGGTTTTTTGTTTTGGGGGTTTTGTTTGTTTTTGCATGGAGGGGAAGGCAGATGAGCACCCAAGCACCTAAACCATGTTTGAGTTACTGTATAGTATTTCCACCGTGCCTTATTCTGAATAGGTGTTAAATAAAATTAGATCAAATGAATTAATGTCCCTTTAAAATGGCTGTGATCTGCTGGTCTCTTGTTATAAGTTCTACACAGTTTCTAAGAAAGCTACGTGATTGTTCGCAAAAGACTGGGGGCTCTTATGTCCTCTATTGCAGTGACTGCTGGGAAAATTGGAAGTTCTGCTGGTCTGTGCAATATACGCAAAGGTTTCTGAATACCCACAAGACTCTGCCACAAATTTAAAACACTTACCTTGGTTATTTCATCTACAAATCCATAAAAATCATGTGTGGTTATTCTGAAGATTAAACAGCATGCCCTTATTAGCACAGTGCCAGTGAGACAGGCAATTAATGAAAGTTAGTATCTTTATTCCAATTATATATTTATAGTCCATACGAATACTTGCTCTTCCACAAAGACAGATTAAGTATTATTTTTCAATTCTAAGAAAATAATTTTGTTTTTCCTAAAGTTCTATTGCCAAGGACATGTACAGAAAGAAAAAGAAAAAAAAAACAAAACAAAACTGTAGTACTATATGCTGGCATCTGGAATAACAATACATATTGGGATGGAAATTTAAACAAAAATATGGATTAACTTGTTCTGTGATTTAGATACCACCTTACCAAACCTCAGATACATATAGTTACAGATTTTCTCCTTTATTAGCTTTTACAGCTACCCATTAAAATGTGTTCATTCTATAACATGGTATAGAAGCAAACTGCTGAACATAGTACAATTTAAAGAGCAAATTCAAGAAAATTAATTAAAAACTACACTGCCCAAAAGTTAAATATTAATTTTATTACTAAAGCTGTTCTCTTATGAAAAGCTAACTCACAGTAAAGGTCAAAAGAATTCATTGACTTCTGTGTCTAGATTTACTATTTATTAACAAAAAGATTGTTAACATTAGGAATTTAGGAAGTATATCATTATCCAATCACAAGCCTATCAGATAATTATATAAAAAAATTAGTATGAAAGTTTATGTTGGACTAGATGAAGCAGAAGGCAATTTTTTTCTATTAGGTAAAATAATTATTTAACTGTATTGCTTCTTAAATGTATCCTTAATTTTAAAAATTAAACAATATATGAGCAGCTGATGTATTCTCTTGATTTATTGTGTATTAAAAGTTACTTTCTTGAGATGGCACATTAGTAGGTTTGGTATTTCCTGACACTATGAATATTTAAAAACAAATGTTTTTTGAAAGTTTCATCATCTGGAAAGAAGGAGAAATAAGGCTTTCTACAGTTGAAAATAATAATTTTTCAAAAAGGTTTAGAGGAAAAATATCTAAACAAACCATTTTTGATAAAGAAATGAGGCAGTTTCAAATTAAAAATACAAATTTAAATGAAGCAATTTATAAAATATTGATACTAGCTAAAATTACATGCATAGGTACTTAATAACTGAACAGAGGAATAGCAGTGGAACTTAAATATGATAGGACTGATCAACAATAAATAAACATTTATAGTGCAAATCGTGCAGAAAAATTTCTCAAAGCGAAGGCTACAGCAATCATTCTAATCTGTACAAAATCAGTCTCAGTTCTGTATATGATCTATACAGGATATCTGTGAATTCAGCCACTGTGATGAAATGCCAATTTGCAAATCATACATAAAAATGTGCTTAGTCTTGTGTCATTTCTGTCTTGGCAGTTTATGTTTTCAGGAAAATCTGAAAAGAAAACATAAAAAACCCTAAGATTTAACTTAAGGTGATAAATTGTCATCTCTTCACATTCTCTTCCAATTAAGATCTACCTATAAGAAGATAACTTGACTATGAGGGAAAAGAGGTAGGGAAAGAATTCTATCATGTTCATATAAATAATTACTCAGTGCCTACTTTCTTCCTAAACCTTGATATTAAAAATCAGCCCTTACCCAAGGGGAACTGACAGTATGATTTGTAAAACAAGAAAACAATTCAATGTTATGTACAACTAGATTAAGGGAAGGGGCAGATGAGTCTGAGGTAGAGATGAAAAATTCCTGCCACTTCCTTCCCCATAAATGCTCCCTCCTCAGAGTCCCCTCCTTCAGCCCACTTGAATGAGCACAGAGCCACATGACACTGATCTCCAGGCCAAACTGCTGTTGGGCCAGTCTCTTTCCTGGGGATTGGCAGTGAAAACCCTTGTTTAGTCTCCACGGGCTACGTGAACTGTCCTAATGTGATAAGGCCTGTAGGCAGCAATGGGGGAGCATGTGCGAGGGGAGCGAAGAAAGGCGCTCTGAAGAGTGGCAAGTCAGGAAGCCCAAGACAGCGAGAGGCAGGAAAGAACAGAGACACAGAAAAGAGAAACAAGCAGCCTTAGCAAGGGTGTGAGAAGTTATTATGGCTTCCGGTCGTGTTTTCACTTTCAGCGACTGAGTTGTCCTTTGTGCATTTTGGCTCTATGAAGTATTTCTGCGTTGTTCAATAATACAAGCTTTTACTTAAATTTGTTGGGGTGGGAACTAGTCTTCACAACCAAATCACTCCTAAAACTACATAGATGGAGAGGAAAAGGAAGTGTCTTGAGATCAGTAAGAGCGTGACCAAAGATACAGTGATAGCAGAAAGAACATGAAATGGAGAACTTAAAGGGAGAATGGAAAACTGAAGTGGGTGTTCCCAAATATACTCCAGATTACAGAAGGCTTAAAACCAGAGAGAAATTTAACAGTGATCCTGCCACTGCTAAGATCTCATCTTAAGTTCTGCGGCAGAGGAAGACCGTTCTGTCAGTGCTGTGCAGAAGGAGAAAAACTACATTCAGGTGACTGGCAAGACAATTACTGGAATAATCCTGGTGTGAGATGGAAAAGCAACAGATAGGAAGTTCATTTTAAGGGAAGAAATGACAAAGGAGACTTGTGAGAAATATGTCAACTAAGTGAAATGGTAAACACCATATACCAGCTAAGAGACAGGAACGAATTATAGCTTACGATTCTACAGAAGTAGCTATCCAACACTGAAATAAACATTTCATTTAAGCCAACATCATAGTGACAAACTATCCAAAAGATTTCCACTGGTTAAATGCTAATGTATATAAAATTATGCTTAATGTATACTACAAAGCATTTTCTATGTCATCTTACACAGAAGCTATGACAGAATTATGCTTAAAGCTGACTAAACAGGCACTGGTAAGAAGACTTCAATTAAAGAATAGTCATGCAATAGCCTTCTGCCTCAAACTTTCTGGAAGACAATTTACCTATAGAGGGGCATGAAATTGGCTGTGCATTGCTATTGCTTGTTGAAGTTTCTCTTCCTTGGCTCTTCTACAGTGGCAGATCTAGAAGATAAATGATTTAAAATACCAGTCACTTCTCCAATGATTTAGCTACTCCTTCTTACCATTAGGACAGAATTCGAAGTAAGAATCCCTTAACCTGTTGACATTTTCAACTTTTGAATGTTTAAGGTAGCTCAGAATTTAAGAATCCCCACCCCCACAAACACTGAATTGCATTTGGAAGATAACCTTTGCCTGTGAACTTCCAGAATGTTAAAATAAACCTTGACCCTTTATATCAATTCTCTGATTGTGGAATTTCAAGCATCCGTGTTTTAAAAATATAAAAACAAAACCCTACTGTTGTTAACCGGGAAGCTTAATAAATAAAAACTTCAGGGTACAGCTATATAGTACCACAAAAGAATGAACCAGAATCAATGCCTTACTAATGCTATACCCATAATCTTTAACATCCCTAAACTTCAATGTTCTCTTATGGAAAATGGGGATAATAAAATCTGCCCACTTTCCTTAACAGGATATGCATATACATAGTACACATTTTACAAAGTTTACTAACAAAAGGTTAATTTTCAAATGTGATGTTTCAGAGAAATCAGGTAAATATTTAGAACTCTATCGAAGGGCAAGATATGGTTAAGTAGACTTTCTTAATTTTTGGAAATCAGAACAGAACAGAAACTGTCGCAGAATGTTCCCAATAATATTTACAAATTCTAAAATAACTATTTATAGATTATTCCCTTTTTAAATAACTTGTTGAACATAAGAAGTTATACACTCCTGTAACTATTAAGACCAGACTTAAGCTGATTTACTAGCTTTAGTACAAAATCATAGTAAAATATTGCTATCATTCTTAAAGAGAGGCTCTTCAGTTTCTTCTCATGGCACTCAAAACTCCAGCTCAGTAACATGCTAAAGTATATTTTACTCATGAATATATTTAAGTAATTTGATATAACACTGTCACTTGTCCTCAACTGAAGAGTTTTACATACTGTTCTCTTTTCCATGAAGCTACTGAGAAAATCATCTATTTCAGTTTTTCCCTCTAAGAAATCTTCAGCAATATTATCAGATTCTTCCTCAGCTTCATGTGCAGCTACTTTCAATCTTGCCTGTAGGGCACTTGCACTACAGCTCTGAAAAAGAAAATCAAGTACTAATTTAGTTTACACTGCTCAGAAAAACTCCTTAGAGGCAAAGGAAATGAGATAGGGGTAGGGAAGAGCAATTCACTGTATCCCTTACACAGCCTTCTTCTTTTTTTTTTTTTAAAGATTTTATTTATTTATTTGACAGAGAGAGACACAGCGAGAGAGGGAACACAAGCAGGGGGAGTGGGAGAGGGAGAAGCAGGCTTCCCGCCGAGCAGGGAGCCTGATGCGGGGCTCGATCCCAGGACCCTGGGACCATGACCCAAGCCGAAGGCAGACGCTTAACGACTGAGCCACCCAGGCGCCCTCACAGCCTCCTTCTTGAGGAAAACTGCTACCACCCAGGTCCTCAGCTTTTGGATATAGGGATAGATACCAAACACAAAATAACGCAATCCACTGAATGAGGGAAACTGAGCCAATCAATGTCTTCTCCTGGGGATTTAGGAATTAGGTCATTGTGGTAGGCACCCTCTAAGAGGACCTCTATTATTCCCCATCTCTTGAGTGTGGGCTGGACACAGTGACTCCCTTCTAATGAACAGAATATGGCAAAAGTGATGGGATTAAATTTGACCAAACAGGCAAAAGACCTGTACAAACACTGCTGAAAGAAACTGAAGAAGACATAATTGGAAAGACATCTTGTGTGCATGGATTGGAAGACTAAATATCGTTAAGAAGACCATACTACCCAAGGGTGCTTGGGTGGCTCAGTTGGTTAAGCGGCTGCCTTTGGCTCAGGTCGTGATCCTGGAGTCCCGGGATCGAGCCCCGCCATCGGGCTCCCGGCTCAGCAGGGAGTCTGCTTCTCCCTTTATCCTCTCTCTCTCTGCCCCACCTTCTCATGCTCTCTCTCTCAAATAAATAAGTAAAATCTTAAAAAAAAAAAAAGACAATACTATCCAAAGTGACCTACAGAGTCAATGCTATTCTTATCAAAATCTCCATGACAGTTTTTTGCAGAAAAAGAAAAACCCATTCTAAAATTCATATGGAATCTCAAGTGACCCCAAACAGCCACAACAATCTTAAAAAGGAAGAACAAAATTGCATACTTCCTGATTTCAAAATTTACTACAATGTTACAGCAATCAAAACAACATTGTACTGGCATAAGAAGAGACATGTAGATGAATGAAAGACCAAGCCTAGAAATATACCCTCACAAACATAGTCAAATATTTTCAAAAAGTGTGTTAAGACCAAAAGATAGTCTTTGGCAAATGGTGCAGGGAAAACTGGATACTCACATGCAGGATGAAGTTGGACCTCTATCTTACCTCATACATAAAAATTCACTCAAAAAATAACTAAAAATTAACTCAAAATGGACTGAAGACCTAAGTGTAAGAAATAAGACGATTTTTATTTTTTTATTTACTTTTTTAAAGTAGGCTCCATGCCCAGCGTGGGGCCCAATGTGGGACTTGAACTAACGACCCTGAGAGCAAGACCTGAGCTGAGATTAAGAGTCAGGACCCTTAACCGACTGAGCCACCCAGGCTATTTTTAATAATAGTCATGCTAGTGGGTGTGAGGTGGCAACTCACACACTGGAATGAACAGGAATGAACCATTTTCTCATCACCCTTGCCAACCCTGGTCATTTAACTTTTTAAGTTTGGCTCACAAGGATGAGGCAGATTTTGATTATAATTATTATTACTGAAAGGCTGACTATCTGTTCAAATGCTTCCATTATTTATTCATTGAATATTTACTGAGTATCTACTATGTGCCAAGGACTGGACCTGGTACTGGGTATATGGGGGAATAAAATATGGCAAGTTTCTGCACCGATGGCACCAACAGTCCAGTGAAGTGATTTACATACTTTACACAGAAGACTGACTCATCATTCCCAAAGATTTTGAGTGAACACACGTAGAGACAAGCGTAGGAATCAAGGTTATATTTTTTAAGTGTTTCAAAAATCATTTTAAGCAATTCTTATATAAATGGCACAGAAGACAGAGTAACTGTTATACCAGTATGACTACTGGACATTCATATTTCTCTTTTTGAGTTTCTTTTTCTTTCCTTTGCCTATCACTGGCATCACTGTCTTATTCCTAATATTAAGGGGATCCTGGAAATATTTGGCAATTGTGATGCTTGCTGTTGGTTTCTAATATTATCTCAAGTTAAGGAATTTTTTTTTTAAGGAATTAATTTTTAGTCTTAACTTACTAAGAGTTTATAAAGAATGATGTGACTATTGTGAAAAGCTTATTCAGCATCTACTAAATTCTAACGTGCAGCTAAGAGTGTTTCAGTTGCTTTTCTCAGACTTTCTTCTGGTTAAGAGTGAGGAAGGACTGCTTACATTTGATTCCTGACTCTGATACTTTCTGTTTATATGACTTCAGGGAAGTTATTCAATATCCCTGTGCCTCAGACTGCTTATCTATACTATAAAAAATAATAACATTGCCTACCTCCTAGAATTTTGTGGAAATAATGGGCAATATATGAAAATAGCATAGTGCAGTATAAGATGCATAATCATTATTCAATGTTAGCTATTATTTTTTGTCTTTAATTCTAAAGGATGATTAAATTATCTGAAATCCATTATAAATTTGTATTTTCCTTTGCCATCATTTTTTTCCCTGTTGTTTTAGTTTTTGGTTTTATTACATTGGCTTTACCTTCCAGAATTGCTGACTTTAAAGGAAAGAGGATGTTGTTAATTATGATGCTGGTTATCGATATGACATACAAAGATTATGTCTCCTATTCCTTTTCATTTTTAAAGATTTTAAAGAAATATGGGTTGAATTTTACAAAGTGGTTTTTATTTTTTATTTAGCTGGATTTCTAGCATAAAATCTATTATTTGTGGTGAATTAAACTTTATAATTTTCATACATTTTTCAATTTCCTAAGTTTTCATTTGAGATAGCTGTACATAAGTTTACAAGTGAGACTACAGTTCAAGTTTTCTGTTAGATTTTATTAGAGGAGGTAAACTGGCATTTATAATAATGTTCCTAGTTAAGTTATTTACGGGGCGTTTTGTATTTTTCTGCTTTGGAACCAAATATGCCCTTGCATGAGCACAAATAATGTATAATGCCCCATAATTGAGAGCTGTTCATCTCACTTAAAGGTATCAAGCCTTATAAAGACAGACACCTAATAACTGCTTTCTGATAATAATCAAAGTAAGAATGTGGCTCACACATATTCAGATTAAAAAATCTTATGGTAGAGGCGCCTGGGTGGCTCAGTTGTTAAGCGTCTGCCTTTGGCTCAGGTCATGATCCCAGGGTCCTGAGATCGAGCCCCACATCGGGCTCCCTGCTCAGCGGGAAGCCTGCTTCTCCCTCTCCCACTCCCCCTGCTTGTGTTCCTTCTTTCACTGTGTCTCTCTCTGTCAAATAAATAAATAAAATCTTTAAAAAATTAAAAAACAAAAAATAAATAAATAAAAATTCTTGTGGTAAAGAGCTAAACACCTTACCTCACTAAGTTCATGTTGCCTTTGCATCTTCTTTTCAAAAGTAGATTTCAGCTGTGTAAGCAATTCATACTAATAGATAAAATAAAAATGTTATTTTGTTGTATTTTTAAATTGTATGGATTTCTTCAAAATGATAACTAACTCACCTTATCTAAAACAGTTTGCCTTTTGGCTTCCAAGCTGGGCTCTAAAAGGAGATTTTTTCCTGTAAGATAAATTTCTGGTTTATTTCTAGATAAACATCATATTTTTCTTAGGAAATTTAAGAAGTAAGGAAAGACATACTTGCTAGGTCTTCAATACTTTTTACTAAGTCATCCTTGTCAGTAATAATCTGTTTTAGTTGGGGCAAAGTCAGAAACTGTTCTAGTAATATCTCCTCTTGTTCATTCATATCTGTAAGCTGTGACACACTAGAAACACAAAAGTTAATGAATATCAGTCACTAGTTTTTCTCCATGATGATATTCAGTTTTTCCATTTTATTCAGTTGCTATGGCTCTAAATAATTTTTGAACTATCATTTATGTATCTATATCTATATATATACACACACACACATACATAAGAAGGCAAATTATAACCTTAAAAGCAAATAAAACATCAACTACAGTAGAACATAAAGTGGTCTGAAAGTAGCATCCAATCATGATAGGATTATTAAGACTAGGGTTCATGAACAATCACAACAATGTTAACCTCTGTGTCTATTTAGCTAACAGGTGTGTGGCTGTCACAATAAAAGGTAAATATATGGATATGTGTGTGTACAGATAGTCATAAAATATTTAAGGAAAAGCAATCATGGAGGGCTAAACCAAAACCAAAAATCAATATCCAAAGGGTGAAAGAGGAAACTGGATGGGTGGGATAGAAATGGAAGCTAAACCTTATTGAACATATCTATTAGTTTTGACTACCGATCCATACAAAAGCATCATATGTTTAAAAAAATTTAAAAAAAAGCAATCTCTAAAATTCAGAGTAAATGGAAATAAATGAGCACTGGTTTTTTTCTAAGTTACATATCCTCCAGAGAAGTATTATTCAGACTTTAAAAAACAGTATTTGGCTGTACATGTCAGGTGTGATAGAACTAAAACACGAAAGAAATATAAAAAACAAAAACAAACGCTTATCTTGAATTCAATAATCACAGCAATAATATTGATATTGTAATTTTGAAAAAGAACAAGTGCCTTTCAGAGAAATGACTTCAGGCCAGGGAAAAGAAATTTCATGATGGCATCTTTGTTTTGTCAGAAAGGCTATAGAAGCCAATGTGAAGAGTTTGCTAGGGACTCAAGATAGAACTGTTTAAGCATCAAGAAGAATAATGACTGCAATAGACTGAAACACATCAAATGTATTTTTAAAAATTTTTAAGTTCTTAACACAGAAACAACTACAAAAATAAACACAGAAAACCTTGCCCATCAAAAACTTTGGAGCTTGTTTGTGCATCAACTTATTATTCTGAAAACTGAAAAACAAAACCCAAAAAACAAGGATTTATCTTTCCATTCCTATATGAAGTGTATTTCAATAAAACTAAATAGTTGATACAAAAAGTTCTTTTCACAGAATTTTGGCTAATTCCGGCAGTAATAATCACATTTGCAATCCTTAATGAAATAATGGATAGCCAATGATTTCAGGGGTTTCATCTGTTTCAATCTTAATGTCACTAAAAATAGGGCAATCAGACATCACTGCTGCCTTATGTGATGTAATAAGAAGTATGCACTAATTACAATGTAAGTATTCTTGACCAAAGAATTGAGCCTATTTTTTTTAGCATTGAGATATAATTGACGTATAACACATAACACTGTGTAGGTTTACAGTGTGCAGCTCAATGATTCGATAAAACTGAACCTAACTCTAATTAAAACTAGATCTAGCCACCAAGAGAAAGAAATACAGGAAAGAGAAGAACATCTTCAATGGTACTAAAAGGATGCAATCGGCAAAAACAGGGTATAGAAAATTCTGCAAGACAACCATTTTCCTCAGTAAATGGGTAATAATATAGTGTGCATAATATAACGTGTAATAGTATAACGTGACATTTTCATAATAATTTTTTTTTAAAAGAAGGAAGAAAAAAAAGAATCCTTTATAACACTGAACAATAATAGTACCTACTTTCTGGGGTTGCTGCAAGCATAACATGTATGTGATATATTGTAAACCTTCATTGACTATTATTAGAAAATAATGAATCACTACTTCCTAAAAATGATTATAAAACACTGAGTCAATTAAGGTAAACTTTTTTTTTTTTTTTACTGTAGGATTTCTCATAGGTATTTGGCTGTATATCCCCGGTGGGATATATCCCAGAGACAGTAAGAATTACAAAAAAAATTTTTTTAATTACACTCAGAAATCTTAGTAAAAACAGCCTTATGAGTATTATAAACCTTCAATAGGGTATAAAGGATGCAATGCTTCCCAAAGTTGAGTGGCCATAAAACAATTTTTTCATGAAGCAACTTAGAGAAGCAGTGTTCTACGAAAAACAGAATACTTTAATAATACAAACTTATGTGTCATCAGTTTGAATACAATTTGGCTCTGTAAAAACACTGTGATTTTTCTTTATGAGAACAATTAATGTGTTCCTCTATGTACAAAGTTCTACCTACAAAGGGAAAAATGAAAAAGTCTAAAATAAGCCAAAAAATATTTGAAATCACCAGGGATGATGTATTGAGAAATAATTTTCACAATAATGTAAGCCTCAAGAGAGAATGACATTGTTATCCTGGTAACTATTATATCATTTCCAGGATCTAGAAAAATCCCTAGGTACACACTAAGTCACTCAGTAAAAACAAACTACAAGACATAAAGCTGATTTATATAACTTTCCCACTAAGATAGCCAGAGTATAGAGATAGTGAGGATTTAAAAAACCTTTTTCTTTAATATGGGTATGAAAATGATGATCTGGTTTGTATTTATCATTGTCAAAGAGATAATGAATACTGACATTACTGTCCAAGTTTTTTACCTTAGTTCTGAGAGTTCTGGAAATGTATCAGGGATATCTGGCATCTTGTAACCAAAACCATCTTGGCTTATCTAAAGAGAAGTATGAAATGATAATTAAGTTTTAGCCATCTTTTTGACTGCTATTTGCTTATAAATGTAATTTTTAATATACTACATCCCATAATGTTTCATTATCACTTTCATCTTTGTACTTTGTCTTTATTCTCCCCTTCTTTCTTTACTCTTATTTTTTTCAGTGTACTTTATACATAGAGGATTAAATTTTGTTTGTTTTTTTTTGGGGGGGGAGGTGAGGATCATGTTAGTACCTGTGTTAATCTCTTTCTTGGGGAAGTATATAACATTAAATAAAATGCTTAAGTGTATCTGTTACTAATGTAGAGAATTATCTGTGGATTTCATTGATATACATGAATACATTTGTCTCAAATAAAAGATACTGAATATAAAAAAAATGTAGTAAGTTGCAAAAGTCTGAATAGTTACATAACTAAGTTTGACATGACAGTAGGGTAGATAAGGAATAGGTAATCCATTGTTTTATAAATGACTTTTTTAAAACAGAGGATCCTTGAAGACATTTCTTGTAATTTTGTTTATCCTACTAATTGTAATTAATATTGTTCATGATATTCACAATAAATGTTCATAATAATCCTTAATAAAATGATGAAAGGTATTGGAAAAAACAAACTCCACTTGGCCTAATCTAAATTATTACAAACACTAAAATTAGAAAAGTTGGATATAATAAGGTTTATAATATTTGAGTATTACTGTGGGTGATACTCAGGGTTAAAATGGAGGTTTTAAAATCATTTTATGTTTTATTCATAAAGTATTAGTCTCTCAGTAACATCCCACATGGCAATGTTACCAGTTTATTTAAGAACATACAATTTTTTTTAAAACCAATGAGACACTTGAAGCCCTTGGCATGGTAGAGAGCAGATCCTCCACAATCTGATACCTACTTCTCTTATGTGATCACTTTTTGTGCCTTTGCCTATTTCCTATATGACAGTCAGAGAGATCTATTAAAGGCAGTTTCATAAAAAATGCAATTTGGTTTATGTCTCTGCAACTTTATCAATACTACTGCCTCTTTATGGAAAGCTTTATATAACCCTTTTCGTCTTGACAAATTCATTACCATCTATCAAAATCTGGCCTTAAACATAAACAAATAAATTAATTTATCTGCCTCATTTTAAGTGAGCACCTACTATATGTATCAGGTGTGGTCTGAGGCACTAAGGATAAAGTGGTGAAAAAGCAGAGACACATTTTTTATAAAAGCATCCCTTCTAGGTCTACCTCAGTTCCTGCGAGCACTGACCATCTCCTCAACTGTCTTCACCATGAACTCTAAACTCTCTCTTCTACTCCACTGGAAGTTTCTTACTTGCAATTATTTGATAATTTGCTGGTCTCCTCTGAGTTTGTTACTTGAGTTGAAAATGTGATTTAATCTTTTTATCTTTTGTGTCTTACTTAGTGGCTGGCACAAGGCAGATAATAAATATTTGTCAATAGGATGAGTTTTCAAGGATATAAAAATACAGAAAGCTGAAGATACCCACCGGTGCTGAAGTGTCTGTTGTAGGAACAGGTAACGGCAGATTTGAAAGGACACCGAAAGAAGGAGCAGCGGGTTTGGCTGGTGTGTAACTTGTTGTTGAAGAAGAAATAGTGTCAGCAACAGACAAAGAAGTGATAGTCCTGTTAGCTTCTTGTGGGGGATATGGAGGAAGAAATGGGAAACCCTGAGATGCATAAGGAGGCATCCCACCTGGATTACTGTAGAGGCTAAAGAAAAAAGACAGAAAAAAACATTAGACTTTAGGGGTAAACCTATAAAATTATTCCCAAATGGTTCTAAATAACAATGGTCATGACACAGAGACAGAATCTTGTTATTATAATCATATAATTGAATTAAATATTCTACAAATTGATAATGACCCCACTCCCCCCAAATAGAAGTGTGGTTTCCATGAAAAGAGAAAATGTTTTAGAAAACATATAATTCAACTAGTCAGAGTGGAAGTGAACAGACAGGCTCTTTTGGAGTTTTGAGCATTCCATTTGCATCAATCACTGTCTTCATAAAGAGAATGGAGAACATTTAATCCAGAAAATGTATTCAAGACAGGTTGTTTAAATAGTAGCTCTCACTTTATCTGGAAAAATATAAGTGAAAGTCAGGACTGCTTTTCTAAAAGATTTTAAAGGAAAATACTTAAATGTATAAAAGAACTGCTAAAAATGTTAAAATATAAAAAAATACATATAAAAAATAAGGATATAGATTAGAAAAAGTGGTACAGCAGCATGTACTTGGGATTGAATCAGAGAGCAATGTAAAAATATCTGGGTCCTGGTTCAAGATGACAATCAAGACCTTGAAATCACCTCCTCCATGAACACACTAAATCTGGAGGAATATGGAACAATCTCCTCAAGAAAAAGCCCTAAAACTTAGTTGTACAACTCCTACAAATCAAGCAAATATGAAAAATCAATACTGAAGCAAGTAGGAAAGCCTGACACACAATCTCACTGTAAACCCAAACCTCAACACAGAGACCTATAATCGGGAGAAAACGCAAAACCTGAAGCTTCTTCCTGAAGAGCAAGAGTTTGAACCCCACACTGAGCAGTCCATCTTTTAAGCCCTGCATCTCAAAGAACAGCCCCCAAAACATCTAGCTTTGGAAACCAAAGGACCTACCCCAGGACCCAGCACAGAAGCAGTCGATTGAGAGGCACCCAGATTTTAGGTGTAAGAGTCTCATTTCCTAATCTTAAAAGTGTCAGCTTGAGGGACAGGTACCTAATTTAACCCCCATCCAGGACCCCCTGGGATATGCTCTAGGGACAAAGGGTGGTAGGTGCTCTCTTCATGTTCTCCCTCTGTCACACTCCAGAGCACCAATATCTCTTGGAAGGAAGCTCTCTTGCACATATGGTGCTTGGTTTTTATGTCCGCTGCCCCAGTTTTGGTGGCTGCCATCCACAAGATACCAATTGATTGCATAGCTCTGGAGGCTGAGGGCTTGCATTCCTGGGTCCCATGCAACTGTAAAACAATGAGAGAGGCAGCTGTTGGCAGGCTACCACCCCCAGGGCGCTGCACAGACAGCAGATCGAACACACCCCTAGTCTTCCTGTGAAAGAGTCTAACAAACATGTCTGAAAGCTTTGGCTTGATGAAAAGGCTTCTGGTTTGGCATACAACCAGAGGCCTACAGAGGCACTCCCAGGAAACGTAGGTTGGTGGATGCCATCTCTGCACACTCCTTCAGTCTCACTCCAGCTCACAAGTATCTCCCAGAAAGAAGCTTATACAATCATCTGGGGCCCCAATTTTGCAATGCTACCCAAGGACCAGACCTCTGGTGGCCAGCACGGCTTACACTTGCAGCCCCACAGACGATATATATTTGTGTACTTTAAAAGCTGCTACCTGAGGGTCTGGCTGAAGGTTTGGCTTCTAATCAGCCCGAATCCAGGTGCTGGCTGAACTCCTCTCAGGTCCTGGTGCACCCTCAAATACTGGGAGCTATTAAAAATATAATAGGCTCCTTGGACAATACACAATTTTAGAGACAAGAGGTAGGGCAGGACTGAATGATAAGGTTCATCTCCTAGTCCAGTCCTCAAGACTGGGAGAGGTGGCTGTTTTATCTTATGCATAGAAACCAACATAGTCAAGGAAAATGAAGAAGAAGAGAAATACGTTCCAAACAAACAAAAACCTCAGGGGGGGAAAACGTAATAAAATGGAAATAAGTAATTTACCTGATAAGAGTTCAAAGTATTATACACTCAATGAACTTGGGGGAAGAATGGATAAACACAGTAAGAACTTCAACAAAGAGATAAAAAATATAAGAAAGTACCAAACAGAAGTCACAGAGGTTAAAAAAAAAATACACTAGAAGATTTCAAAAGCAGACTAAATGAAGCAGAAGAAATGAGCAGTGTACTCAAAGATAGGGCAGAGAAACTCACCCAATCAGAGCAGCAAAAAGAAAAAAAAAATGCTCCCTGATTTGAAAGTATATTACAATGTTATAGTAGTGAAAACAGAATGTTATTGACATAAAACTATATACAAATAGATTGATGGAACTGAATACAGAACCCAGAAATAAACCTATGCATATATTGTAGCCAAGAATATACAATGGGGAAAGGATAGGCTCTTCAATAAACAGTACCGGGGAAAAAGGATGGCCACATGCAAAAGAAGGAAATTATGATTTCTTTACATCATACACAAAAATTAATTCAAAGTGGATTAAAGACTTAAATTTAAGACCAGAAACCATTAAACTCCTAGAAGAAAACACAGGAAGTAAGATGCTTGAAATTGGTCTTGGTGATGCTTTTTTGCATCTGATACCAATAGCAAAGGCAACAAAAGCAAAAAAACAAGTGGGACTCTATCAAACTAAAAAACTTCTGCACAGCAAACTATCAACAAAACAAAAAGGCACCTTACTAAATGGGAGAAGATATTTGCAAATAATATATCTGAAAATCAGGAGTTAGTATCCAAACTATGTAAAGAAATCCTACAATAGCGAAACACAATCCAGTTAAAAAATGGGCAGGGGATATTAATAAATATTTTTTACAAGATAACATACAGATGGCCAAGAGATACATAAAAAGATGTTCAATATCACTAATCACCATGAAAACGCAGATCAAAACCACAATGAAATATCACCTGACACCTGTTAGAATAGCTATCACTAAGAAGACAAGAAATAAGTGTTGTGGAGGATGTGGAGAACAGGAAACCCTTGTGTACTCTTGGTGGGAATGTAAATTGATGCAGCCACTATGGAAAATAGTATGGAGGTCCTCAAAAAAATCAAAAATAGAATTACCATATGATCCAGCAATTCTACTTCTGGGGATTTGTTCAAAAAACTGAAAACAGTAATTCAAAAAAATTAATGGTGACTCTGTCTGGGCTCCTATAGTCTCAGGATGGGGTAGTCACTAGAAAGACACACTGATGAAGGTCTGGAACTATCAGCTGCACCCACCAATCTCAGGGAATGAGGGGCTGCAAACTAAGTTCTATGAAAACTCTTGAACAATGAGGTCTGACAAACTTCCTTGTTGGTGAATGCATCCACATGGTGGGAGGGTGGTGCACCCTGGCCCATGGGGACAGAAGTGCCTGCATTCAGGGCTCTTCCAGTCCTTGCCCTGTGCATCGTTTCACATGGCTATTCATCTGTATCCTTCATAATGCCCATTTATAATAAACTGGTAAACAGAAGTAAATATTTCTCTGAGTTCTGTGAGCAGCTCCAACACATTAATGGAACCTGAGGGGGGGCATCATGGGAACCTCTGATTTTATAGTCAGTTGGTCAGAAGCAGGTGAACAACCTGTGGATTTCACTGGTGTTTAAAGTGGAGCAGTCTTCTGAGGCTGAGACTTTAACTTGTGGGATCTGTCACTACCTTCAGGTAGAGAGCATCAGAACTGAATTATACCTATAGGAAACCCGGTCACTGTCTGCTGAGAACTGGAGAATTACTTGGTGGTGTGGAAAACACATATCAGAGTACTGAAATATGTTCCAAAATATATAAGGCTTGAACAATTTTTAAACTGGAGTATTATTATTTCATTTAATAACATAAATTTACATGAGTTGAAATTATGTTGGAAAACAATTTTATGGATTTTGAAACTAAAGTTCATCTGGAAAATTATAGAAAGAAAAGTATCTGAAGGAGGGTTAAGAACAGAATAACTGTGCCATTTGGTAAAACAAATGATAAAACCTTTATAATTAAAAAAAAAAAAGAAAAGGCAACTATTTTTAGAGCAGATAGTGGTAAATGGATATGCAGATCAATGGAACTGAATATAAAATCCAGAAAAAGCCCAAAACACATAAGGGAATAAGGATATAAGACAGATGTGAAATAAATGGAAAAAAAGATCAGTCAATAAACAGCATTGGGACAGCTGGAAAAAAATGAATTGGAGACAGATCATTATATTCATAACATGATAAAAACCAAAATCATCAAAGATTTAAATGCTTCAAACTAAATCTTACAAGAACTAGAAGAAATCATTGGGAAATAATTACCTTGGGGTGGGAAAGGACTTTCTGTGATCCCAAATTCCAAAGTCATAAGAGAAAATGATTAATTGCTTGACATTAAGGAAGAACAAAAACAAAAACGTGTATGACAAAGCCCATTATAGTATATGTGCTGCCGAAGCGAGCACGACAGAGCCCATTATAAATAAGACAAATAACAAACTGGGGGAAAACATTTAAAACTCTTATCACAGACACAGGGTAATTTCTCTAATACATAAAAATTTCCTACAAATTGATAAAAAGACTAACAACTCAATAGCAAAATGAAAAACAGGATAGAAGACTCAGGTTACAGAAAAATAAAGAAAAACATCTCCAAAGATCCAAAGATCCAAAGATACTCAACTTCATTGTTAGTAAGATAAATACAACTAAAATTATACTAACATATCATGTTCTACTTATAAATTGGCAAAGATCCATTCCAATAATAAACTGTATTGGCAAAGAATATGGGAAACTAAGCCTTGTGTATAGTGGTAGAAATTGGTGCAACTTACTCCATAGGGCAATTTTGCAGTATTTGTCAAAATTACAAATGTGCATGCCACTATGAGAATGCATCTAAGAAATATATTCACAGCTGGCTAGAATATTTTTTTTTTAAGATTTTATTTATTTATTTGAGAGAGAAAGAATGAGAGATAGAGAGCACAAGAGGGAAGAGGGTCAGAGGGAGAAGCAGACTCCCTGCTGAGCAGGGAGCCCGATGTGGGACTCGATCCTGGGACTCCAGGATCATGACCTGAGCTGAAGGCAGTCGCTTAACCAACTGAGCCACCCAGGCACCCTAGAATATTATTTTTAAAGTTATTTGCTGCAGCGCTGAGGGTAAAGAAAGGTGGGCCTTTTAGGAAAGAGTGGAAACAATAAAAATATCCATCAGCACGAGTCCTGTTAAATAAATTAGACTACATCTATAAAACAAGTACTTTGTGGTCATAAAGAAGAATAAGGAAATGCTTTATGTACCAAAATGGAAAACTATCCAAATTATACCATTTAGTGAAGAAAAAAAGCTATGTTACCGTTTGTGTAAAAAAGAAGGGAATAAAATACTCCATGTACGTATTTCTTTGTAAGTCATAAAACATCTTGGAAATTCTATGCATATTCACCCAAATGAAAAACTCTAGATACAAGCAAGAAGAAAAACTACATTGTAAGGGAGAAGACAGTGGAAGGAAGACTTTTTACTGCATACCCCTTTATATTTTTTGAATTTTGATTCAAATAAATATATGATCATTGAAAAAATTAAGTTAAAGTAAGTTTTCTAGTTTGGCTTATTTATTTAAAAAAATGGCTCATCTTTATGTTACAAAATTAAAACTTTTATCTAAAGGTATGTCAGTGACATAAATATAACAAGTTCTTTGGAAACAATATGACCAACATGAGAGAGTATCTGTATTGTAAGTCTTTATTGTGAATCAATTTTTATTTTGACCTCAGGAGCAGATACAACCTATTAAATAATCTAAGGAATGCATCAAACCTGCATTCTAAAAACCTGCACTTTATCACAGAACTTATTTGAAATGGGAATAAGTAAACTTACTGGCTTTTATTTTCAAATAAGGTGAATGAACTTATATCCAACCCTGCCCTGACAGAAAAATAGGATATACAGTTTTTAGATAAAGGATATTAGGAGGCTTATAACTCCAATACAAAGAGACAAGAGAGGAAAGATGAGGGCTGGGGCTGATGCACCTAATGACCTGGATAATCTAGCTAAGCAGATTTCCAGGCAGTGTTCAAAATGCTGCCTGACTCCTGAGCAAGAGCAACTTCTTGGAAATTAAGTAGCAGGACTAGGATATAAAGCCAAGAAGTATTCTGAGAAAAGGAAATAAAAAGACCAACAAGAAGCTGCATCATCATTAAATTTCAGAATACCAAAACTTTTTTCTAAAATTTACAAAGGATCAGAAATCAAAATGGCATTGGACACTTTGCAATAGAAGCCATATAGACAATATAGCAACACCCTCAAAATTCTGAGTAGAAAAGTACTTCGACTTAGATGCTAATGCAAAAAGTGGAACAAAAACAGGTTATCTCCAGTAGTCCCTAACCAAACTGCAGATTCACAAGGAAAATACATGTCGTCAAGGTCAGATGATGTGAAAAAACAATATGAAAGGTATTTTTCAGAGCTGCTAAAAGATGTGGAAAATTAAAACGATAAAACAACCCATGGAAAAATGGAAGTAATTATTAACTCCAGAAAAAGCAAAAAATTATACCGTAAAGGAAATGTAATCATGACAAAGTCCTCGATTCAGCAATGGGGAATATTTACAGAATCAAAGTAATGAAAATACCAAAAATGAATTTAAGGAAAGATCATGATATCAATCACTGAGAGAATGAGGGGAAAGGAACATTTATGAAAGATAACAATAACTAAACTCCTTATCAATCATAACAGGAGGTTGAAATATAATACCTAAAATTAAAGAACCAAGACTATGTATATATTATGTTTAAATTATTCAGAAAGATGAAGGTAAATATTGGAAAAGCAACTAAAAGAAGAAAACACAGCTGCCTCTGAAAAGTATGAGTCTATCTGTATGAAGGTAGGAATGTGGAATGAAGAGAACTGCCTTTTAACATCATTTGAAAATTTAAATTCTATTATGATTACTTTGATAAAAGGAAGTAAAAATAAATTTATACGTTTTGGGGGGTATAAATATACTTACTATGGAAATGCTGTTGAAGAAGGAGCTAAAACTGGAGGATTCTTCCAAAACTCATCCAACAGACTCTGAATAATTTTTCCAAGATCTGAGTGCATTGTAAACTAAAAGTAAGAGTTATACAAGATGATCAATATCACTTTCAGAATAAGTCTTACTAGGATAACGTCACTGTAAAACTTAATCTTAAATCTACTTCTGTACATCAAGAATTAAATGAAAAACAAAGGATACTGTGTCAAATGACCAGATTAGCAATCTAAAACTTAAAATATTTTTCTATAGACTCAATACCATAAATCAGTTAAAAATCTATTTAACCAATAATGGAGCTAAAATATTTCCACATTTTAAAAAATAATTCGAGGGGCGCCTCGGTGGCTCAGTCGTTAGGCATCTGCCTTCTGCTCAGGTCATGATCCCAGGGTCCTGGGATCGACCCCGCATTGGGCTCCCTGCTCGGCAGGGGACCTGCTTCTCCCTCCCCCACTCCCCCTGCTGTGTTCCTGCTCTCACTCGATCTCTCTCTCCCCCTGTCAAATAAATAAATAAATCTAAAAAAATAATAATTTGAAGGTTCAAAGGTAAATACTGAGAGTACATTTAAGTTATAGTGCTTCACCCTTCATAGTAATCAATCATTTAGATATCCTAAGAACTTTTAAGGCATATTTGAATTTTATCCCCTCCTAACAACTATGGAAAATATACTGTGAACCAAAGTTCCAACATCAACAGGTCCTCATCACAGAAAAACAAATAACCTTCAAATCAGTATTATCTATTAGATATAGTGACCTTGTTTTGGGAAAATTACTTATTCCAAATGAGATTTCAAATGCATTTTAGATTTCTAAAATATGTAGTAGTAAAGTAATACACCTGTTAATAATACTCTGAATTATACTATATACATACATTGTTTACTAATGGAGAGGTAACATACACCCCTTGTTTATCCATTAAGTGATGTCGTATTGGTGGATAAACACTGATCACTGGTTTTTCCTGAGGAAACTGTGGAGGGAGCAATCTGTTAAACGTAGAACAGATGGAAAAAACACAAGTGTTATATAGTCATAATTCTAAAACAAAGTTAAAAGCAAATTAAATTTTCATGCTTTCATTTAGAGTAATTATTCACAGTAGTAAGTGCTCTATTATGGTTGTTGATCGAAAATACACAAAAGGATATACTTTAGCAACAAGATTATAAAGTAATTCAATTCAGTAAAACTTTACTGTGGAATATGGATACCTGAGTTATAAGATATTCTTCACACCATGTCAGTTAATTGCTTTCAAACACAATATACTAAGCTATGCAAAATCTCAGATAAAATCAGATCAGGTATTTGTAACAGGTGACCCATAGTATAACCAGTCTGACTATTAGACCACAGGTTCTGGCCATATAATTTTCTTGTGGTTTTCCTACTTATGAAATGCTGCCAAGAATTATTACACCACCTACTGAATTTTTGAAGAGTGTGTAGATAAAAGCAAAAGGACTATGGTTAAAACACTGTAGCTGTCATTATGCCTTGGTTCTATAAGGCTCTAATGGTCCCCGTTAACACAACTCTCCCAAGTCTGTCAATCACATGGTTTCAAGTAAAGAACAGTAAATTCTCAATACAAAAAAAAAAAAAAAAAGGTGAAAATCTTAACCTTTATGGACTACCACAAATTTAAAATTCAGGATTGAAGTCTTAAATGGATTTTACTGGATATGGAACTCTGATTTCTAAATCTCTCTAAACTCAGAAGAATATGACCCTTTAAAACTGTCTCTCTGTTCCTGTTGGCTCTGAAAAACGATTTGTTTGGCAGCACTGTCAAGAAGAGAAGTGGGTCCTTTTTGGCTTCTCCTACTTAGCCCTACCTAGGTTACTTCATTTATATAAAGATGTTAGCCTAGTTTGGTTAAAAAAAAAAAAAAGACAATGATTGGCCTTTGGAGCCCAACCAATCTGGTTTGTATCCTGACTATGCTATTCACTACTTATGTGTCTGTAATTTACCCAATCTGTAGCCCTGCTGTGAGGATTCACAAAGCTCTTATATCAAGATAACACAGCATAATGCTTGGCACTATTATACATTCACACTTTCATTCACTTATTCAACTAGGATTTAATAAGGTCTTCTCTGTGCAGGCATTATGCTAGACAATGAGAATATGAAGATGAATAAGCCATGGTTCCTGTCTTCAAGTTAGGTGCTTCTTATCTCACCCAAACACCTACTCTAGCACACAGCCACCTAATGCAATTTGAGGTAATCACTTAATACTTTCATGCTGAAGACTAATAATTACACTTAGAATTAAATGGGTACTTCAGCCATCACTATGTCTAATCTTTCCTCTTAAATAACCTCCTGATTATAATTTTTAACTTAATTTTTTTCTTTAATTAGTAGATCAAATTCAGCCCTGAACTGTCTGGTTGATATAGTATATCTATTGCTGAAGACTAGAATATTTTCACTTGTTTCTAAGGTAGGGGTAAATATATCTCTAATAGTTTTCCATACATGATCCCTTTGACTGTTTGTCATCATTTTCAGCCTTTCTTTTAGCCTACCTCCAGCTAAGACTTCAGTGCAAATCAATAAAAACAATGACAGTACTAAATATTATTACTACATCTTTATATTGCATTTCTTCTTGTATAACAGCTTCTTTCTTACAGCAATACACTTTACCATGATGTCTTTAAAAAACTTTTGTTTCATGAAATTATGTGACTTTGATAATTTATAGTTACTAGAAAGGTAATATTTTAAATAAGTTCACTTTAAACAATTTACTTCTAATAACTAAGAAACAAAATAATGAAAAGATTTTTAAAAGTACTAGTACATAAAAATATAGGATACAATTCTACTCACATATTAATATTAATTGTCAGGTTGTTTACGGTGAATGGCAACCTGTATTCCACATCTTTCTGTATTTCAGCTATACTGTAGAAGAAAATTTGAGAGAAAAATTCACTTGAAGTTATAAAACCATTAATGTTAAAAACAATGTTAAATGTTTTTAGAGCCTACTAAAACTATTAATTTTAATCACCCAATCTAGATAGCCAATATAACTTGTATCTTGAGGGAAAAATGATCATAGAAAGATTTATCAAATCAGGCAATAATATTCTGAGATATCCAAGTGCGTGTGTGTTGGGGGAAAGTGGTAGAGTGGGGATAGATGTCGAGGTAAAGTGGCAAAGAAAAACTCTCGTATTAATGCTAGATTGATTTACTATCACTTTACCTAATTCAACATTAGCAGAAGCAATTGTTACCCCTCTGGTTAATACAAGTCAGCAAGACATCTGGGTTCTGATTGGAACACTGCCACTACCCAGCTATATAGACAGCTAGGGAGGTCTGGGTCTTAATAAGTTAAACTTAAAAGCCTGGATGAGATGTCTCCTACAGTTTCATGACAGAGACTGCTGGCTGCTTTCCAGAAACAAATAACCTCCCCTTCTTCCTCAGTAAGAAAAGTCTGATTTTACTCTGAGGAGCAATGACCTTGCCTTTTTTGCAGCTAGCTGTTGCTACAGACTTACGTTCTAGCCAATAAGATAGATACAGGGAGGCTGTGGGATAGAATTACTAGGAAAGCAACTAGAAGGGGACACAAAAAACTAGTATGAGTCCTCCTCTCCTGCCTCTACCTGATAGCTGCACTTCTAACAGCCATCCTGGACCATGAGTGACCTTGAGAATAGAAGTCATACACTAGGAAGAGCTAAGCAGAAAGAAAGAAGTAGCCTGGGTCTTTAATGACTATGGAATTGTCAAACCGAATTTCTTTTTTGTGAGAGAAAAAAAGTTCTGTTTAACTCAGTATTTTGGGAGTCTTGGCCAGTAGCAGCTGAATATAATTGCCAACTAACAGAATTTCCTTGTATTTTAACATTCTACATTTAGAATTTAATTTACTTTATTGTCAATTACAGGGATACATTATTACAATTATAATCTAGCAACCAAATCTTTTGGGGGCTCACTTCAAATTCTAATGAACATTCACAGTTTTTCCAAAGGGAAAATGTTAAGTAGTATTCCTGATTTAAGGTTGAGAACCTTAATATTCAAAAAGACACGAAACTTTTTCAAGCATGAATACTGTTGGAAGATCTAGCATTTACATAATAATTAACTTTTCATTCTTTTGGCTGCTTCAACTACTGCTCTGTACTGACGTCCCATGGAACGGGGTTAGTATGGAGATGAAGAAACAGCTGAGAACAGACTCAAAAAGATATTCAATATTAGGACTTCCATAGTTTTACAGAAGTTTTCTTTGGGGTTCAGTTTTGGACTAGAATACCGACAACCTCCTCAGTTGTAGGAACACCATATAATCAATTAAATGGCTTAAGTTTTCTATTCCTTTATATTATTTTAGGACTCTAAGGTGTAACTGCTTCAAGGGAATACTGGTCACACATGCATCCATCAGGTCTAAGCTAAACAGAATGTCTTCATGATTAAAAGTATTTTATGACCTCTTAAGTCAGGCTTCCTGGGTTCAAATTCTTCCTCTAAACCATTTACTTATGTGATCATACGCAAATTACTTAACCTAAGCCTTATCTCTCAAATGGAAAACAGGGATGTTAACAATAGCTATCTACCTAAAACAACTGGTAAGATTAAATGAGAGAATACTCGTAAAGCCCTCCACAAAATGCCATAATAAGTGTTCAATACAAGTTAGCTATTATCAAATATGCATTTTGAACATGCATCTAAGTTGGAGCCTGTCTAAATTTGCAGTACCAAAGTTTTAACTCAGTTTTTTAGTGTATTTTTATAGAAAACAAAGTGAATTTGACTAAAATAATTTTTACTTAAATCATTGGCTAGAAGTGGTTTCAGTGTCTCTACAATTAGAGTGTTGACATTTATTAGGTTTTGACAAGTTTCCTTCACAAATGAGGTATGATAAATAACTGAAAGCAATACTTGTACTATTAGTGAGAGGTGAACTCTCGTTAACAAATTCCAATACAAGTTAGTCATGGCAATTGTTGGAGTTCAGGCCATGCTACTGAAATATGAAGTGCAAAATATGGCACTTCAGCACCTTGAATACCTTCAGCTGAAGGAGTCTGAGAAAAGAGAAGCAGGAAGGTTACTCTAACCTCCTCCCTACCTCATACTTCTTCCCTGAAACAAATCATAAAATCCTCATGTGAAATATGTCCTCCTTATACCAAGTAGCATCTTTACCTCAAAGACAAAGGGACACCAAGAAGAACAGTAAGAACCCTTGATTATTACAATTACCTTATATTCCTTAACCCATCATATTCTTCTATGACTGTACACTTTTCATCAAACCTAGCACAAAAAACTCAGGTCTAACTATTTCTTTGGATCTTTGCTTCCTTAAGTCATCCATCTCATGTAAAACTTACAATAAATAAGCTTGTATGATTTTCTCCTGTTAATCTATCAGTTTACTTAATTAAAACAAGAACTAATCCCTGAATATTCACAATGTGATTTCGAATTTTATGCTATTTTTAAAACTTTTTTATTTTTCAAAGATTTTATTTATTTATTTGACACAGAGAAAGCAGGAGAGCACAGGCAGGGGGAGTGGCAGAGAGGGAGGGAGAGGGAGAAGGTGGCTGGCTCCCCACTGAGCAGGGAGCCTGACGTGGGGCTCGATCCTAGTACCCTGGGATCATGACCTGAGCCGAAGGCAGTTGCTTAACCAACTGAGCCACCTAGGCGCCCCTATTTTAAATAACTTTTAAAAAACTTATGCTAGGGGCGCCTGGGTAGCTCTGTTGGTTACACATCTGACCCTTGATTTTTTGCTCAGGTCATGATCTCAGGGTTATGACATCCAGCCCCACATGGGGCTCCGCACTCATTGTAGAGCCTGTTGGAGATTCTCTCCCTCTCTTACTGCCCCTCACCCCCGCTCATGCATGCTCTCTCTAAATAAATAAATAAATAAATACTTAAAAAAAAACACAACAACTTACCTAAAAATGATTTATTCCCATCGAGGGGAAAAAAAGAACAAGCAAAAAGGATATAAAAATCACTCAGGAAGCCATATACCCAAGATAACCTCTAACACATCTAATCTTTCTATATTCACAGCCTTATGTAAAACAAAATGCAATTGTACTGTCTATACAATTTTATAACTTGCTCTTTTCTGAATCAGTAAATGCTATTTTACATTATCTTTTTTAAATGGTTGTAAATAATGTTTTACTACATTGTTTAACCAATTATTGAGATCGTTTCCATTTTTTACTATTATAAATCACACTTTGATAAACATTCTTTGCAGCCTTATCTTTGAGCTGACAGGTAGTAGTATTTTGGATGTAAATACACACACATATTTTAAAGTAATACTGTAATCACACTACAAGAGCAAACTGGAATGCCCTTCCATTAATACTTTTATGTACTAGGTTCTCCGAGAGAAGTGAATTACTATGGTTTTGCCTCATTGACTGAACAGATTTGGGATTAAAGAAAGCTGAAACAACAGACAACTGTGTTAGTCAGAATGTGTGATTAGGAGCACCTGGGTGGCTCAGTCATTAAGTGTCTGCCTTCAGCTCAGGTCATGATCCCAGGGTCCTGGGATCGAGCCCGCATCCAGCTCCCTGCTCAGCGGGAGGCCTGCTTCTCCCTCTCCCACTCCCCCTGCCTGTGTTCCTGCTCTCCCTGCTGTGTCTCTCTCTGTCAAATAAACAAAATCTTAAAAAAATAAAAAAGAATGTGTGATTAATTGGCATCCTCATTTCTTTGATAATCCTTGAAACTATAAACAAATTGACCTTGAGATGCAATAGAGGCATTAGTTATGGTTAAAAGATTCCTTTTGTAGAACAATCATTTATTTACGACTTCACATTTTGTGTAAACTTGGGTTTCGTAAGAAAGACTTGGTTCAACTAAACAGCTACCAAATGTCCATCATCTTGCAAGGAAACAGAAATACAGAAATATGTGTGGTCTTTGAAGGGGCACACAGCATGAAGAAAAAGTCAAGTGACTAAAAAAGATAAATTCAAGATACTGATAGCATGCATTTGCCAGTGTTGGGTAAATCAAGGGATGTTTATAAGTGAACTTTGCAAATAAAAGATTCAGATGCTTCAATAAAGATGGTAGATCGAGATTAGACAACTTCCCTTTCCCACCTAAATCTCTAGGAAATATCGCAAAAGACTAAACAACCAAATCTGTAACAGTGCTGGAAAGCAAAGAGTAAGCAGACAAACTCTGAGGAATCTCTAAAAGATAAAAGATGGGAATAGTCTTAAGGAAAAGGGTGATAAGGAAAAAAGGAAAGAAAAAGAAAGTAAATACAGGAACTGATGACAACCCAAAACATTAGATTAATGCAAAGTAGGAGCAGTTTGAAGGTCCTCGAAGCCCTTGAAGGGGGCTTTCACACCAAGAATGTGGAAGGCTGGGCAGAAGCATTTCTCAGGGTAATGAATGGGAAGAGGTGTGCAACAGCAGGTAGGATAGAGCACTCTCCTCTTTTCCCTGCTTGTTCCAAACCAACAGATGGCACTAGAATCTGTACCCGGAAGAACACATTGGGTAGCCTTGAAAGGAGCAGAGACTTAGGAAGCTACTGACTTCCATGGAGCCTCTGTTTCCAGGAGACAACTATCAGCTTGTCCCATATCGGAACAAATCATTCTTTTTCATTCGTCACCAGAGGCAGACTATGATAAACAGAGCTAAATATCCACTAACAAGTCAACAAGGAATCTCAACACAGAAATGAACACATCAAAGAAGTGTGAACAAAGCCAAACCAAGCAAGGTAGCCACTAAACTCAAGCAGCCCAACACACAAAAACTTAAGCCAACAGAGTTAATTGAGAAGACTCTAAATTTGGGTAATTAATATCCTCAGAGAAACAAAATAGCACTTGCATTCACACACACACAGTTGA